TTCCTTTTCTGTTTTTCTGCCCGAAGTATTATTATTGAACTTCAGAGTCTATGGTATCTTAATAAATAATAATCTTGTATACATTTATTTGAAAAGAATTTTTTAAATCTAATAGGTAGTGAAAGGTGAAATAGTTTGATGCAATTCTTCAAGGACTATTGGAAAATAGCTCTATAACCACACAAAACTGCATATATGGTTATATTTTGTATCGGAAATTAATATATATACAAACAACAATTAGAGTTTTATTTTCAGACCTCAAAAAAACAACAACCCCATTATATATTGAATCTTCTTGGTCTGGAAATATTGCCACACCCTCTGTTTTTAATGCCACAGCAGGTGTGAGCTGTGGTATCATCTGTTACTATCCACTAACCTCAAGCAAAATACTTATCGGAAAGCCAAATATAACGGAAATTAACATCAAAATCAGTTTTAGCTGAGGTTTTAGGCATGTGTTTAAAGAGTCTTCAGAACCATACGGTGCATTATTTCCTAAGCTGGGCGAGGTAAAAGATTTCTGCACTGTTTCAGATGAATTAAATCCCCATTGCTCATTTATTATCTACTAAATGAGAGAAGCATAGCAGTTTAAATAATAAAGTGTGTGGTTTTTTTTATAATGACAAAAGCACTGTCATGCCATAGTGTAAAGTCCTTCATAAGTAAAAAATAAATAAATAAATGACAAAAAGGACTTAATAGAATAACAGAGTTGGAAGGAACCTTGGAAGTCATCTAGTCCAAAGCCCCTGCTTAAGCAGGAGATCCTATGCCATTTCAAACAAATGGATGTCCAGTCTTTTCTAAAAGACCTCCAGTGATGGCACACCCATAACTTCTGGAAGCAAGTCATTCCACTGATTAATTTTTCTGTTAAATGTTAAAGTTTCTATTTGTTCTCTATATGGTTGCTTCCATAGGTATATACCAATGTCTAAACAGTTGTGGTTCTCTGACTCGCTTCAAAAACAGGATTTTAGAATCCAGAGTTTTGATTTAATTCTTTTTTCTTCGCACTGGCATCCTTTATTTGCTCACTCTTTAAACAGAATCCACATAGTCCCTCATGTTGTACAGTTCTATTACACTTTCAGGTTTTGTAGGTTATTTTCTTTCATCCTTATTTAAAGGAATCCTTTACCTTTAAAATACATTTTTACAAATTCAGCCTACTGTATTATTTCCTGTTGAGCAGGGTGGGGCAGGAAAAGTGAGTGACGGGCTGTTAAATCACTCTTTTTACACTTGCATATTTACCTATGGATAAGATTCATGAAATACAGTAAGAATTAATTTATGAGCATGCTTTCATAAGAGTTGGACTGGTTTTGGGGGGAGGGAGTTTGCTTTCAAAAGAGCTTCCTTCTGATCAGTAGTCAGACAAATTACTTACACTCCTTTGGAAACACAACAGCGTTGGGACTTATAGGAGAAGTCGTTTATTGGTCTATGGTGGTCCTCATCCCCAAGGAGGCTGCATTGCTGAAGAGAAAGCTTTTAAATTAATGTTGACGAAATAGTTCACACCTCTGTGCATAGGGCAATATATTCTTCTATATTGAAATGCTAATTGTTCTTAAAGGATATGTCCCCTTCATTTTATCACAGCCCATCACTTCTTGTGAGATGGCCAGCTATATAAATAAGATAAATAAGACTGCCACAAAGAAGAGGGTGTCAAGCTATTTTCCAAGGTGCCTGAAGGCAGGACAAGAAGCAACGGGTGGAAACTAATCAAGGAGAGAAGCAACCTAGAACTAAGGAGAAACTTCCTGACAGTTAGAACAATTAACCAGTGGAACAACCTGCCTCCAGAAGCGGTGAATGCTCCAACACTGGAGGTTTTTAAGAAGAGACTGGACAGCCATTTGTCTGAAATTGTATAGCGTTTCCTGCCTGAGCAGGGGGTTGGACTAGATGATCTCCAAGGTCCCTTCCAACTTTACTATTATTATTATTATTATTATAAGATAAAATAAATACATGAATAAATCCCAGAAGTAGTTAACAGATCAGCTAACTGTTAATAGCACTTTTAAAACTTTTGAAAAGTTACAAATCAAATCTATATAATTTGCCAAAGACAACTGAATGGCAATACACTGAGTAGAATATCAGTTAGGTTCTCTGGGCTAGATGCAATGGCTTACCTCAGAAACCAATAGTTCTGAATATACTAGGCAATTTTTTTAAAGATTAAGTCAACAATTCAATTTCACCGACAATTTAAAACTTAATGCAGTTAAACATAGGTAATTCATGTAAAATCTGGGATATAGACTTGGAACTTCCCATTTTAAACAATCTGTGGCTTCAGATTTTTAACAACGTGAAATATATTTCCTATGATTTTAAAATGGAATCTATTTATCAAAATATTTTTTCCAGATTTATTGCATCCCTCGGGATATGTTTTAAAAGATTAGTTATTTTTATCCTGGAGATAAAATAAATTTGAAGATACATTAATAGGTTGCCTTGCAGTGGTTGAATATTCTTATCATGAATCAGATATTTAGAAAGAAATAAAAGGTTAAAGATGCCAATATTGTGTTAAACTGTACTCCAAAAATTTTAAATTCCTCAGTATAGAATTTTATGTATGCTATACCTGGACTGTTGCTTAAAAGATCATCAACTGTTGCTAGAGAAACATTTGTGTAGCCAAAAATGGCTGAACAATGTGGCACCCTTTGATTTTGTACCTTTGTATCTTTTCTGATGTAAAAAAAAGACAGACTTGACAATATAAACCTGAGGTTCAATTTATTGTTTAAAAATAGAATTGTAGCAACGTTCACAGAATTGTAATAATTGTTATTTGACTTGAACTTCTTTCATTTTTTTCATTTTCTTTTTTTAAAAAACTTGTATTTCTGTATTTCTCTTCTGTTTTGCAGTCCTAGCAAGGCAAAGAAATAATAATTTTAAGAAATTATTCTTAATATCTATGCAGCTAGACTAATTTATTTTTGAAGGAACGAAATGGGTGTGTTGAAGTAACAAATTTGAAAATTTGGTAGTGTGGCTCATGGGAAATGAGAGAAGTTTTCATTTCCAGCCAGAAGCTTATAGTTGTGGAGGCAATTCCAGAAATAGTTTCTATTAATCTGATTTTTGAATCTTAGGACAAGAACTTTAAATCCAGTGTGATCCCTGATATGCAGAATACAATTCTCTTACTGTTAAATTTGGGGTTTGGTGAGGTTATAAATTATGTAACAGAACAGACCTTTTATTTAGCATATATATCCATGCAGTTCAAGCACTGCAAAAAATATCCAAGTGTTTTTCAGCGTTCCTTATAAAACAGGGAAAAGGAATACTTTTATGACTGAGTATTGGAAACTCTGAAGAGAAGCCAACTCAGCAGATGATAATTGTATCTTTTAAGTGCTTAAATATGTTTGTTACTCTTAAAGGAGTACCCTGTGGTTATTTTGGGGAAAATGCAGCATTTTTGCAGAGGAGAAAATAATTTTAAAAAATTAATCTGGTGAATATTTTAGTTGCTTTGATATGATCTTTACCCCTAATTTTACTTTAAATGTTGTTTTGTTTCTACTTCTACTTTGTGGAATGTTGAGCAACGATTTAGCTAATTGTTATCTGTGGAAAAAAAATCACTTCTTTCCAAAAATACTTTGAGTAGAAACAGTTAGGGTGGAGTATTTTTTAGCTTTGATTTTCTTTGACTCAAGTCATAAGAATAACTTTCCATTATATTTCCTAACTCTATCTATGAAGAAAATGACTCAAAGCAGGCAAGTCACTTGCTTGTTTAAAATGTATATTTTGACTCATTATGTTGTACAGAAAAAAAAACATGTTGAAATACAGTTTTGCATCATTTCATTAATTTCCCAGTGTATTAAATTCAAGCCAGGTGGTGCAGTGATTAGATTACAGTATTTCAGGCTGACTCTGCCCTCTGCCAGGAGTTTGATCCTGACTGGCTCAAGGTTGACTCAGTTTCCATCCTTCCGAGGTCAGTAAAATGAGGACCCAGATTGTTGGGGGCAAAAGGCTGACTCTGTTTAAACCATTTAGAGAGGGCTGTAAAGCACGGTGGGACAGTATGTAAGTGCTATTGCTATTAAAGTTATATGGCAATGATAAGCATGAATATGACACTATTGTGAGTGAATTCATACAAAGGATGCAACAGTGTTAAAAACCCTTCCATTCTATAGCAATTGACCTCATTAGCTCAATGCCTTTTTTCACAATATGGCATTCTGGGTGGCAGCATAGAGAATATTGTATGTGTGCAACAATTGGGAGAGGGAGGGAGGGAGGGAGGGAGGGAGGGAGGGAGAGAGAGAGAGAGAGAGAGAGAGAGAGANAGAAAGAAAGAAAGAAAGAAAGAAAGAAAGAAAGAAAGAAAGAAAGAGAAACACACAGAGAGAGAGAGAATTCACAAGAACTTGCCAGTCTTTGCATTTCCAGATTGTAAATATATCCATGGACCTCAAAATGGGATAGGTAAATTCTTAGGAAGCTACCTGAAATTGGGTTCCTTTATATTTATAAATCATATTTATAAAGCCAAGCAAGTCAGAATATCTTTAGTCTCTTTGGATGGGACAATTTGGCTGCTTAATCCAGTATAGTCAACTTTTATTGGCAAGTCCCTCTGAGTTTTCAAGCAGAGATTTTTATTTCACAACTTTGATACTTTAAAAACAAAAAACCCCAACTCTTTAGATGTGCCATGGATTGGACCTGGGACTTTCATATGCAAAACCCATGTTCAACCACTAGATCTTAGACCCTCCCCCAAGTTTTGACTGTAACAGTGATCTTAACATCTTGCTCTTTGGGTGAGGAAGAAAGCCATTTAAAAAAAAATCTCTCTTTGTCTTCTTTTCTTTCTTTTCCTCACTCCCTTTCTTTCTTCCTTTCTTTTCCTCCTTCCTTCCACTACTTTCCAGGCCATGCTTTCTGATGGATGGACTGTGAGCCTGGGGATTCTGCTTACACTCCAAGGAATGACGTGTGGGGAGAAGATAACAGAGACTGGTAATGTGGGGACCTGTGTGGAGAGATAAAAGTTCCAAACTTTGTCCATATTGCAGTTCTGTATTGACTTTGTTGTATGTATTGGTTCTGGATTCACTGCTTGCCATGCAATGACACTGGCCTGATCCATTGTTTGTTCAGGTGACTTTGAGACTTCCAAGATGGAAATGTCATGTTGAAAGAGATGATCAGGAAAGAATGTTGGCAAATTGGAGTAATTGACAGATTTATTGGCTGTGGATAACTTTTGCACTATTATTGTATTTGGAGGGAGAGGAATTTAGAATCAGAAAAGGAGAAAGACTAGAGAATCTAGGAAAGAGTCTAAGGAGACTTTAGTGGAAGACCACACTAATTGTTGTCCATGGGCCACTAAGACATACATCACACTTTTGTTGTACACCACCCAGAGTCGCTTGCTTTGTGAGATGTGCAGCTATATATATATTGGACAAATAAATAACTCATAAGTTCATTTATTGAGTGGCTTGGATGCTAAATCATTAAACCTTTTCAAAGGCAGATTTCTGCTTGCAAGACTCACTGGCAATCTGGACCCTGTCGCCTGGGGTAGACCGGAAGCTTTCATTCAAATTATCCCAGTTATCATTTAAGCTTTTATTTTCAATAGCCTGAAAGACAGAAACTCCTCCTCCTCCTCCTCCTCCTCCTCCTCCTCCTCTTCCTCCTCCTTCTAGATACCAGGATGAGAAAAATGAAAAAGGTTTTGTCTGACAAACCTATACTTACTGTCTTACAGGATTTAGCCTAGAATGAACCAATTACTCACACACCCATGATATAAATTATATAAATATGTAACATAAATATATACAAAACATTGAAATTCAAATCAATGCCAGGCAGCCATCTTAGAAGGGCCATTCTTTGTTAGTTCAGCTTGCCACTAGCCGACTAACAGATTGAAAATCCTATGGGCGGCCCCGCCCCCCAACTCCCAATCCATTATTCCAAGGGAATGGCTTTACCCAATGCCATCTGACAGATCCTCACTTTAGGGCTTCTTCAGGAAGTGAATCCAAAGAAGGAGATGGGGTCTGTGCAACCTTATGGATTTTTGGAAAGTAGAATGAGGAAGGGAGAACAGGAAAGAGAGGAAGAAAGACTTGGTGGGGAGAGCGACAGGCCTCATTGTGGTCGCTTGTGTTTCCTTTTCAGGATCCTGCCAGCCTCAGCCTTCCTGCCATGAGTGCATTCAGTCACACCCCAGTTGTGCCTGGTGCAAGCAGCCGGTAAGTCCTCAGTCTCGTGAGCCTCTCTTGCCATTCATCCCCCCCCCCCGTCCTGTTTCCAACATCGCCTTAGACGGACTCAGAAGGCATTTGTTCTAAGACCAGCATCCAGAGCTGAAAGACGGGGTATTTTGTGGCTAAGAGGTAGCCTTCAGCCCTCTCTTCTCTAGCCAGCTAAGAGGTGATGAAGAGAGCATACATTTCTAGCAACCTGAAGCAGGAACATTATTACCCGAACCTGCCGCCTTTCTGCCTTGTATCTCTTCCTTCCCGGTGGCTCACTGATTTGCCTCTTGAGTAGTCACACTGAGTTGGAAGGTGAACCTCGAGGAGGAATCTTTGGGCTTTTGAGTCGAGGAGTTCTCGGTGAAGCTAAGCCAGGCAGCTGCATTCTTTTGCCAAGGTGCAAGATTTCCTTGAAGGCAGCAACGTCAGCAGACAGCAACTGGCAAGGTTGTCCTCCGATTCACCCCTTGCCCTTTCGGTCTCAGTTGATGTGTGAAGACTTGAGTCAGCAAGACTCAACAGCAGCTGCCCACTTCAGGCAACCGTGGGAAGTTGGAGGCTACCAAAGTGCCGTGATTCTTTGGCTGGCTAAGTCTTTCTTCTATGATTTGGATTTTCGTCATCTCTTTTGGAGATGTTCTTCAAATGAAGCACAATAAGAAGAGGCAATGGGACAGGCACATTTTTTCTCCAGCCTTGACACCCTAGTGAGAGCCATCCTGATTCCTCTGCATTATCTGCTCTTCCCTGAACCCACTCTAGCCCCTCCAGATCAGTACAGACAGTCCTCGACTTACAACAGTTCGTTTAGTGGCTGTTCAAAGTTACAACAGCACTGAAAAAATGTGACTTGTGACCGTTTTTCAGAGTTAACGACTTTTGCAGCATCCCCAGGATCACGTGATCAAAATTCAGATGCTTGGCAACTGGTTCATATTTATGACCGTTGCTGTGTCCCAAGGTCATGTGATCCCTTTTGAGACCTTCTGACAAGCAAAGTCGATGGAGAAGCCAGATTCACTTAACAACAGTATTATTAGCTTAACAACTGCAGTGATTCACTTAACAACTGTGGCAGGAAAGGTCATAAAATGGGGCAAGATCACTTAACAAACATCTCACTTAACAACAGAAATTTTGGGCTCAATTGTGGTCGAGAATTTCCTGTACTCAGTTCCCCCAGAATCTATTTACACCCATCACCAAAAGGACCTTCCAATCATTAGCATGTTTGCAAAGTATTGTCTGCAACAAAGTAGGACCAAATAGGGCAGGGGTAGGCAACCTTGGCTCTTTTATGACTCGTGGACTTCAACTCCCAGAATTCCTGAGCCAGCCATGCTGAGGGGAAAGGGAGAGGTTTCCAAGCTGAGCCGTGCTGGCTCAGGAATTCTGGGAGTTGAAGTCCACGAGTCATAAAAGAGCCAAGGTTGCCTACCACTGAAATAGGGTGAGCTTGCATGTTCCTGTATTATGTGCTATTGCAAAGGAGAGTTTTTTCAGTGATATCACTACACATGCTCAGATGCTGCAAAAGCACATTTTGTTCTTAGCTCCCCAGCACAAAAACAGGCTGGCCAGCCCAGACGGTTTGTTTTCTGCTGAAACCAGATGGCTGCTGGCCTTGTTTTTGTCATCAAGGCATAATTTAAAATGCCATTATTTATTTATTTTAATCCTTTCTAATGGATTGGTTTTTTAAAAAAGAATATATCAGGGAATCAAGTTATATGAGCTGACTTTACTGGCTGTAATGCAGATGTCTTTAGTTTTGGCCTTGTGTACCTGATTGCATCTGCCTGGCAAGCCCAAATTCATTTATTTCATTTGCTTTCTCCATGCCTGCAGTGCCATGCATGGGAAAAGCTGGAGATGCTGCACTTGTGCTTAGCCTACAGCTGTATGAGATCAACAAACAGGAAAAAGTAGGCAACTTTCCTACTCAAAGTATCATTGTCTAAAAATAATGCATCTAAGCAGCAAGACAACAGGGCAGGGCTTTCTACGAAGCAGGATTTTTTCCATTTGTCTGTGGAGATTCTCAATCATCCAAGTCATGATTGTCTCAAGGGTGCTTTTCCAAAAAGGCAAGTGGACTTTCTTGATTTCCCCCCCCTTTAAATCGTTTCACCTCATCCAAGAAGCTTCTTCAGTTCTGAAGAAGGGATGAGAAGTAAAAAGTTTTCAAGGGAAAAAAACAAGGAAGTCCACTTGCCTTTTTGGAAAAACACCTTTGGGACATCTTTGCCTTTTCTTCATTCATTCCTGTGGTCTACCACTGCTTCTTCGCCTATCTTTAAAAATACTGAATTAATATTAGAGAAATGAAATTCAATGGTGAAAAAAGCAAGGTTCTACATTTAGGCAAGAAAAACCAAATGCACAAGTACAGCATAGGTGGCACCTTGCTCAATAGTAGTAACTGTGAGAGGGACCTCGGAGTCCTAGTGAACAATCACTTAAATATGAGCCAGCAGTGTGCTGCAGCTGCCAAAAAGGCCAACACAGTGCTAGGCTGCATTAACAGAGGGATAGAATCAAGATCACGTGAAGTGTTAATACCACTTTACAATGCCTTGGTAAGGCCACACTTGGAATACTGCATCCAGTTTTGGTCACCACAATGTAAAAAAGATGCTGAGACTCTAGAAAGAGTACA